AATTTTTTGAGGAATCTCCATACTGCTTTCCATAATGGCTGCACCAATTTACATTCCCACCAATGTAAACACTTCTTCTTTTCTCCACTTAGCACCAACACTTGATTTGGGTGGCTGGAAAGTCCAAGACCAAGGCCCCAGCAAATTCACTGTCTGGGGATGGCATGCTTCCTGGTTCACAGGTATCTGTATTCTTGCTGCATCCTCACAAGGAAAAAGTCCAGGAGAGAGCTCTCTGTTGTCTCTCTCTTTTTTTTTTTTTTTTTGAGATGGAGTTTTGCTCTATCACCCAGGCTGGAGTGCAATGGCACGATCTCGGCTCACTGCAACCTCCGCCTCCCAGGTTCAAGCCATTCTCCTGCCTCAACCTCCCAGGTAGCTGGAACTACAGGCATGCGCCAGCACGCCCGGCTAATTTTTTTTGTATTTTTAGGAGAGATGGGTTTCACAATGCTGGCCAGGCAGGTCTCAAACTCTTGACCTCAAATGATCTGCCCACCTCGGCCTCCCAAAGTGCTAGGATTACAGACATGAGCCACCGCACCCGGCTTAGCGTCTCTTTTTTTTTCTGAGACGAAGGCTTGCTCAGGCTGGAGTGCAGTGGCATGATCTCGGCTCAGTGCAACCTCCGCCTCCTGGGTTCAAGAGATTCTCCTGCCTCAGCCTCCAGATCACCTGGAATTACAGGCACGCACCATTGCACCCGGCTAATTTTTTGTATTTTTAGTAGAGACGGGGTTTTCCACCATGTTGGCCCGGCTGTTCTTGAACTCCTGACCTCAGGTAATCTGTCTGCCTTGGCCTCTCAAAGTGTTAGGATTACAGACTTGAGCCATGGAGCCTGGACCTGGTGTCTCTTTTAGAAGTATACTAATCTCATTTATGAGACATCACTCTTATTACCTAATCACATTCCAAAGGTCCTATATCCTATTACCATCACATTGGGGTTTAGGATTTCAACATATTAATATTGAGGGGGTAGAAACATTCAATTTGTAACAATAATTTAAAAAAAATTTTTTTTTTTTTGAAAGGGAGTCTCACTCTGTCACACAGGCTGGAGTGTAGTGGCATGATCTTGGCTGACTGCAATTTCTGCCTTCGAGATTCATGCAGTTCTCAGGCCTCATTCTCCCAAGTAGCTGGGATTACAGGCATGCATCACCATGCCTCGCTAATTTTTGTATTTTTAGTAAAAATGGGGTTTTGCCATGTTGCCCAGGCTGGTCTTGAACTCCTAGCCTCAGGTAATCCACCTGCCTTGGCCTCCCAAAGTAACTATATATACATATATATATACATATATATACACAAATATATATATACACACATATATACACATATATATATATACACATATATATATATATATATTTTATTTATTTTTGAGATGGAATCTTGCTCTGTGGCCTAGGCTGGAGTACAGAGGCATGATCTCAGCTCACTGCAACCTCCATCTCCCGGGTTCAAGCGATTCTCCTGCCTCAGCCTCTGCAGTAGCTGGGATTACAGGCGCCCCCCACCATGCCCGGTTAATTTTTGTCTTTTCAGTAGAGACGGGGTTTCACCATGTTGGCTAGGCTGGTCTCGAACTCTTGACCTCATGATCCACCTGCCTCGGCCTCCCAAAGTGCTGGGATTACAGGCGTGAGCCACCGTGCCCGGCCCACAGTAACAATATTCTTAATGCAGTGTTTGAGGAAGAGGGGCCATGGACTGCATAAGATAAATTTTTGGCCCAGCGCCATGGTCCACGCCTGTAATCCCAGCACTTTGGGACAGTGAGGTGGGTGGATCATTTCAGATCAGGAGATTGAGATCAGCCTGGCCAACATGGTGAAACCCTGCCTCTACTAAAAATACAAAAATTACCCTGGATTCGTGGCAGACGCTTGTAGTCTCAGCTACTTGGGAGGCTGAGGCAGGAGAATAGCTTAAACCCAGGAGGTAGAGGTTGCAATGATCCAGGATCGCACCACTGCACTCCAGCCTGGGGGACAGAGCGAGACTGTCTCAAAAAAAAAAAAAAAGAAAAGAAATTTTCATAGTAGGCTATGTAAAAGGAAACCATCCCGTGAAGAAAATATTTTTTCTTTTTTCTTTTTTTTTTTTTTTTTTTTTTTGAGACGGAGTCACGCTCTGTCGCCCAGGCTCTGGAGTGCGGTGGCGCAATCTCTGCTCACTGCAAGCTCCACCTCCTAGGTTCAGGCCATTCTCCTGCCTCAGCCTTCCGAGTAGCTGGGACTACAGGTGCCCGCCACCACGCCCAACTAATTTTTTTGTATTTTTAGTAGGGACGAGGTTTCACTGTGTTAGCCAGGATGGTCTCGATCTCCTGACTTTATGATCCGCCTGCCTCGGCCTCCCAAAATTCTGGGATTATGGGCGTTAGCCACTGTGGGGCCTGTAATCCCAGCTACTTGGGAGGCTTAGGCGGGAGAATCTCTTGGACCTGGGGAGCAGAGGTTGCAGTGAGCCAAAATCATGCCACTGCACTCCGGCCTGGGAGACAGAGTGAGACTCCATCTCAATAAAAGAAAAAAAAAATTTAGATTCCCCACAACATAATGAAATGTTCAAACGCTATTGAATTATACACTTTAAATGGGTGAATTTTATGTATTTGAATTATATCTCAATAAAGCTCTTTTTAAAGTTAGATTTCAGGCAGGGAGTGGTGGCTCACGCCTATAAACCCAGCACTTTGGGAGGCCAAGTTGAAAGGATTGCTTGAACCCAGGAGTTCAAGATCAGCCCGGGCAACATGATGAGACTTTGTCTCTGAATAAACAAACAAACAAAAAAACCAACAGGCATAGTGGCTTGTGCCCATGGTACCAGCTACTGGGGAGGCTGAGGTGGGAGGATCGCTTGAGTCCAGGAGTTTGAGGCCACAGTGAGCTGTGTTTGTGCCACTGCACTCCAGTCTGGGCAACAGAGCAAGACTTTGTCTTAAAAACAAACAAATAAATGAAAAGGCTGGGCACACGGGCTCATGCTTGTAATCTCAGCACTTTGGGAAGTCGAGGAGGGAGGATCACCTGAGGTCAGCACTTTGAGACCAGCCTGGCTAACATGGTGAAACCCCATCTCTACTAAAAATACAAAATTAGCTAGGCATGGTGGAAGGCTCCTGTAATCCCAGCTACTTGGGAGGCTGAGGCAGGAGAATTGCTTGAACCCGGGAGGGGGAGGTTACAGTGAGCCGAGATCGCGCCATTGCACTCCAGTCTAGGCAACAAGAGCAAAACTCCATCTCAGAAAAAAACAAAACAAAACAAAAAAACCAGTATTTATGTATAAAGTGCAAAGGAATGAGATATAACATTCATATACATTTCAAGACATGCAATACAGTATTATATATTGCTTTAGGAGACATGCAGGCATAGTAAAATATTAAGTGTGTGGAAATGCTAAATGCAAAACGCAAGGTAAGTTTATTCTTATGGGAAGAGGGATGTTGTCAGGGAAGTATAAATAGAAGGCTTTGGCTGGGCGTGTAATTCCAGCACTTTGGGAGGCTGAGGCAGGTGGATCACCTGAAGTCGGGAGTTCAAGACCAACCTGGCCAACATGGCAAAACCCCGTTTCTACTAAAAATGCAAAAATTAGCCAGGCATGGTGCCAGGTGCCTGTAATTCCAGCTACTCGGAGGCTGAGGCAGGGAAAATTGCTTGCACCCGAAAGTTGGAGGTTGTGGTTAGCTGAGATTGCGCCATTGCACTGCAGCCTGGGTGACAGAGCAAGACTGTCTCCAAAAAAAAAAAAAAAATCAACTTTCCCGGAGCATAATCAGGTTTATAGAGAAATGCCATGTTTGGAGGGGATGGTTATTTTATTTTATGTATTTATTTTGATACGAAGTTTCTTTCTTGTTGTTCACACTGGAGTGCAATGGCATGATTTCAGCTCACTGCAACCTCTGCCTCCCAGGTTCAAGCAATTGTCCTGCCTCAGACTCCTAAGTAGCTGGGATAACAGGCATGCGCTACCACACCCAGCTAATCTTGTATTTTTAGTAGAGATGGGGCTTCACCATGTTGGTCAGGCTGGTCTGGAACTCCTGACCTCAAGTTATCTTCCTGCCTCGTCCTCTCAAAGTGATGGGATTACAGGCGTGAGCCACTGTACCAGGCGTGGAAGGGATATTTAGAGATATATTGACAAACTGCAGAATGTTCTGAACTCATTAGCTTCTACAATGGATTTCCCTTTCAGTCTCAAGACATTTCCAGAGGTTGGTAATTTATTTATTTACTTTTTTTCTGAAATAAAATCAACGTCCACTGTAAAAATTTAAAACCACAGTAGTATAAAAATAGGATATATTGCCGGGCGCGGTGGCTCAAGCCTGTAATCCCAGCACTTTGGGAGGCCGAGACGGGCGGATCACGAGGTCGGGAGATCGAGACCATCCTGGCTAACACGGTGAAACACCGTCTCTACTAAAAAAATACAAAAAACTAGCCGGGCGAGGTGGTGGGCGCCTGTAGTCCCAGCTACTCAGGAGGCTGAGGCAGGAGAATGGCGTGAACCCGGGAGGCGGAGCTTGCAGTGAGCTGAGATCCAGCCACTGCACTCCAGCCTGGGCGACAGAGCGAGACTCCATCTCAAAAAAAAAAAAAAAAAAAAAAAGGATATATAGGAACTTCTTTGCACTCCTCTCATTTAGTTCTACTCCACGGAATTAATGATTGTTAATATTTTCTTGTTTATCCTTTCAGAACTCCATTTATTGGTGAGAATGGTTTTATATAAAATGTCTTAGTCACAGTCAGGAAGCTGAGGCAGGAGAATTGCTTGTACCCGGGAGACGGCAGTTGCAGTGAGTTGAGATCCAGCCACTGCACTCCAGCCTCTGCAACCGAGTGAGACTCTGTTTCAAAAAAAGAAAAGAAAAAAGAAAAAACATCTTAGCCAGGCACAATGGCTCATGCGAGTAATCACAGCACTTCCGGAGGCCAAGGTGGGAGGATCCCTTGAGGGCAGGAGTTCGAGACCAGCCTTGGCAACTCGTAGAGACCCCGTCTGTAAAAAAAATGTAAAGAAAAGCTTCACAACACAGTCTACTTATTTAATATACATCAAAATATGTTAAATCTGGAAAGCAATTTTTATTGAAGGGCAAGGTAATCTTTCCAACATACATTTTAAAATTTCATAGGGGTAAGAAAGTTGTAGAGGCAGAAATGGTGCAAGACCATTAGAAACACCATCACACCAGCTGGGTATGGTAATATACACTTGCAATCCCAGCTACTCGGGAGGCTGAGGTAGGAAGATCCCTGTAACCCGGCAGTTTGAGACCAGCATGGGCGGCACAGTGAGACCCCCGTCTCTTAAAAGCAAACAAACAAAAAACAGCCGGGCGTCATGGCTCATGTCTGTAATCCCAGCACTTTGGGAGGCCGAGGTGGGCGGATCATCTGAGGTCAGCAGTTCGAGACCAGCCTGACCAACATGGTGAAACCCCGTCTCTACTAAAAATACAAAATTGGCTGGGCGCAGTGGCTCATGCCTGTAATCCCAGCACTTTGGGAGGACGAGGTGGGCAGATCATGAGGTCAGGAGATCGAGACCATCCTGGCTAACATAGTAAAACCCTGTCTCTACTAAAAATACAAAACAAAACAAAAAAAATCAGCCAGGTGTGATGGCACGTGCCTGTAGTCCCAGCTACTCGGAAGTTGAGGCAGAATTACTTCAACCCTGGAGGCAGAGGTTGCAGTGAGCCAAGATTGCGCCATTGCACTCTAGCCTGGGTGACAGAGCAAAACTTGTCTCAAACAACAACAAAAACCAAAAAACTGTCACAGTGGGATTTTAACAGAGGACACTAAGAGCATCCAAACACTACTTATGAAACAAATTGATAGAGCCTAGACTATGTCTCAAGTTATAACTGAAAATATACAGCTTATGAAACTAAGAGATGAGAGTACAAATTCAGGCTCAGACAGTCAGTAATTGTTATTTATTGATGAAATCACGTTATTTCCCAGCAATTTAGCTTCCTCATTTATAATTTAGAGTGATGATTGCTGGGAAATGCAGTCTCATGCATGTAGTCTTTCAATCCTGACTTGGCCTCATAAGAATAGACCGTGGGCCTGGAATACTTCTTTACCAAGAGATAAAAGAGCCCAGTCGGGTGCAGTGGCTCACGCCTGTAATCCCAGCACTTTGTGGGGCAGGTGGATCACTTGAGGCCAGGAGTACAAGACCAGCCTGGCCAACACAGTGAAACGTCATCTACACTAAAATTACAAAAATTAGCCCGGTTTAGTGGTACACATCTGTAGTCCCAGCTACTCAGGAGGCTGAGGCACGATAATTGCTTGAACCTGGGTGATGGAGGTTGCAGAGAGCTGAGATTGCACCACTGTTCTCCAGCCTGGGTGACAGAGCAAGACCCTGTCACAAATTTCAAAACAAGAGGCTGGGCATGGTGGCTCATGCCTCTAATCCCAGCACTTTGGGAAGCCCAGGCAGGCAGATCGCCTGAGGTTGGGGTTTGAGACCAGTATGGTCAGCATGGTGAAACACTGTCTCTATTAAAAATACAACAATTAGCTGGGCATGGTGGCAGGTGCTTGTAATCCCAGGTACTCAGGAAGCTCAGGCAGGAGAATCGCTTGAACCCAGGAGGTGGAGGTTGCAATGAGCCGAGATTGTGCCATTTCACTCCAGTTGGGCAACAAAGCAAGACTCCATCTCAAAAAAAAAAAAAAAAAGAGAGAGAGAGAAAAGAAAAAAGAGCCCAAGTGACCTGTGCTGGTTTATTGCCTCTGTGAGACTGTCTTTCCCTGTGGCAAGCCCAATGCGCCAGAGGGGTACGCATAGCCAATTTCCTGCACTGGCTGCCAGGAAGCTGATCCTGCTCTGTAAGTAAAGTGTTGCTCCACCCATGGCTTGATTGCATTGTTTTGCACAACTCTGATGGCGAGGTGCATTGAGTGGAAACATTTGGACTTCTTTTTTTTTTTTTTTTTTTTTTTTGAGACGGAGTCTTGCTCAGTCACCCAGGCTGGAGTGCGGTGGCAGCGATCTCTGCTCACTGCAAGCTCCTCCGCCTCCCGGGTTTACGCCATTCTCCTGCCTCAGCCTCCCAAGTAGCTGAGACTACAGGCACCCGCCACTATGGCCGGCTAATTTTTTTTATTTTTTAGTAGAGACGGGGTTTCACCATGTTAGCCAGGATGGTCTCGATCTCCTGACCTCGTGATCCGCCCATCTCCGCCTCCCAAAGTGCTGGGATTACAGGCGTGAGCCACCACGCCCGGCTGGACTTCTATTCTTGTTGGTTGGCACAGTGATGATCTTTGCAATCCTCCATGTGGTAGGAGTCATTCCCTTGGTGTTGGTAACCAGCGTTCAGTGTTCTGCTCTCCTGGGATTGACAACCGGGGGCACCATATTTTGCTTAATGATCAAGTGAGGCTGGGCGTGGTGGCTCACACCTGGAATCCCAGCACTTTGGGAGGCCAAGGCAGGCGGACCATCTCGGGTTAGGAGTTTGAGACTAGCCTGGCCAACATGGTCAAATCCGGTCTTTACTAAAAATGCAAAAATTAGCTAGGCATAGTAAAAATTAGCTGGTGCCTGTAACCCCAGCTACTCGGGAGACTGAGGCAAGAGAATTGCTTGAACCCAGGAGGTAGAGGTTGCAGTGAGCAGAGATCGTGCCATTGCACTCCAGCCTGGGTGACAGAGTGAGACTCTGTCTCAAAAAACAAACAAAAAACAATGATCAAGTGAGATAATATTTAAACATTTCTACATAAATATACACCATATATTAAAATTCTATATACAGTCTAGTGATGTTAAAAATGTTGATATTGGGCTGGGTGCAGTGGCTCACACCTGTAATTCCAGCACTTTGGGAGGCCAAGGCAGGTGGATCACCTGAGGCAGGGAGTTCGAGACCTGCCTGACCAACACAGAGAAACCCGGTCTCTACTAAAAACACAGTATTAGCCAGGCATGGTGGCACATGCCTGTAATCCCAGCTACTCAGGAGGCTGAGGCAGGAGAGTCGCTTGAACCCTGGAGGCGGAGGTTGCACTGAGCTGAGCTCTGCCATTATACTCCAGCCTGGGGCATCAAGAACGAAACTCTGTCTAAAAAAAAAAGAAAAACAACAACAACAAAAAGAAACAAACAAAAAGACTTGATATTGTCCTTAATTCCTTCCAAAACTCACGTGAGCTTCTGCCAATAACTAGAGCGGAAGGACAATCATCAGATATATTTAGCATCGAAGGAACAAAAAGGACAAAATTATTAATTCTGTACCGCAATCAATAAAAAGCTAATGTCTGTATTTGTACATTTGGTAATATGATTACGTGTTAAATGGTGGCATGTATATGTGAGTGTGTGCCTGTGTGTGTGTGCCTGTGTGTGTTTTGAGTGGAGTGAAAAATAAGGCAGTAAATGGTTTTTCTACCACTGGCTGGAACACGAAAAAGTTTATAGGCACACCCAACAACAATGGAAACACAAATCATCTCCGGAAGTCAATATATTCCTTCTACTTCCTGTTATTTTACAAGAAACACTTTCTTACCTAGTTTGTTTTTCCTTATGCTTTCTCTTGGACATTTCTCTATTGTATTTCTTCCTCTTTTTACAAAACCATTGACTTATCTGCAAAAAATGAGGTGAGGGAGGTGATTAATAAAGGAATAAGGATATTGGTCTATGTGAGTAACAGTACTATAGAAGTGACTTTGTCTATCAATGAAGAAATGTCTATTAATGCCGTCATACCTGTTTATGTGTCATGCCAAATTCAAACGAGAGTGATAGACTCTCTTGTATTGTGGGGCACCTGTTTAACTTAAACTTTGCCCAGAGAGTGTCCATGAGGGATTTGCTGACTAATCTACCCTTGGAATATTGTTTCTTATTTTCCCTTTTCCTTTTTTCCAGTTCATCTTCCAGCTCCTTTTCATTTTCCTCTTCTTTTTCTCGCTCTCTCTTTCCGCCTGCTTCTCCTCCTCCTTCTCTCCATTTCTGCTCTCCCTTTTGTTCATTTTCACTGTAATTTCCATTTGATTGTTCTGGATTTTGATCCCAAGGCATAGCTGGTTGTTTCTGTATAAAAAGATCTGTGGAATAAGATCAAGCTGCAGCTAAATTTGACTTTCAGATCATAGTCAACAATTTTTCATATAAGAATATTTTGATTTTCCTAAATTAGCAATGTTGTACATTGGTGGAAAACATAGAGCAAAGAAAAAGTAAACTTACCAAAACTTAGTGAAGATTTTCATAAAAAGAACAGAAAATTAAAAATAATTTCCCAGGCCAGGCATGGTGGCTCATGCCAGTAATCCCAGCACTTTGGGAGGCTGAAGTGGATGGATCGCCTGAGGTCAGGAGTTCAAGACCAGCCTGGCCACAATGGTGAAACCCCATCTCTACTAAAAATACAAAATTAGCCAGGTGTGGTGGTGGGCAGCTGTAATTCCAACTACTTGGGAGGCTGAGGCAGAGAATTGCTTAAACCTGGGAGGCAGAGGTTGCAGTGAGCTGATATTGCGCCATTGTACTCCAGCCTAGGTGACAGAGCCAGACTCCATCTCAAAAATAAATAAATAAAAATAGAAATACAAAAATTAGTCAGGTGTGGTGGTAAGTGCCTGTAATCCCAGCTATTCGGGGGGCTGAGGCAGGAGAATCACTTGAACCTGGGAGGAAGAGGTTGTAGTGAGCCGAGATTTTGCCATTGCATTCCAGCCTGGGCAACAGGAGCAAAACTGTGTCTCAAATAAATAAATAAATAAATAAATAATAGTTTCCTGCTGGGCACGGTGGCTCCTGCCTGTAATCCAAGCACTTTAGAGGCCAAGGCAGGTGGATTGCTTGAGTTCAGGAGTTTGAGACCAACCTTGGCAATATAGCAAGACCTCATCTCTACTAAAATAAAAAAATTAGCTGAGTATTGTGGCATTCACTTGTGGTCCCAGCTACATGGGACCACATGAGATGGGAGGTTTGTGTGAGCTCAGAAGGTTGAGGTTGCAGTGAGTTATGATCACGCCACTGCACTCCAGTCTGGGTGCCCGAGTGAGACTGTATCTCCAAAAAGGAAAGAAAGACAAAGGAAAGAAAGGAGCTATCTGTTGAAATTAATAAATTTCCTTGTGATATTAGTCAAAAATAAATGACATTGAAATGAATAAATCATGAGATGCAACAAATTTTGTTGCAGGAAGTCAGGGACCCTGAACGGAGGGACCGGCTAGAGCTGCAGCAGAGGAACATAAATTGTGAAGATTTCATGGACATTTTTCAGTTCCCAAATAATACTTTTATAATTTCTTATGCCTATCTTACTTTAATCTCTTAATCCTGTTATCTTTGTAAGCTGACGATGTATGTCACCTCAGGACCACTGTTGTGTTAACTGTACAAACTGATTATAAAACGTGTGTTTGAACAATAGAAATCAGTGCACCTTGAAAAAGAACAGAATAACAGCAATTTTCAGGGAACAAGGGAAGAAAACCATAAGGTCTTACTGCCTGTGGGGTCGGGCAAAATAAGAGTCATATTTTTCTTCTTGCAGAGAGCCTATAAACGGATGTGCAAGTAGGGAAGATATTGCTAAATTCTTTTCCTAGCAAGGAATATTAATAATACCCTGGGGAAGGAATGCATTCCTGGTGGGGGAGTCTATAAACAGCCACTCTGGGGGTGTCTATCTTATGTGGTTGAGATAAGGACTGAAATTCACCCTGGTCTCCTGAGTACCCTCAGGCTTACTAGGATTGGGAAACTCCACCCTGGTAGATTTGTGGTCAGACCGGTTCTCTGCTCTCGAACCCTGTTTTCTTTTGTTTAAGATGTTTATCAAGACAATATCTGCACAGGTGAACACAGACCCTTATCAGTAGTTCTGATTTTGCCCTTATCCTGTTTCCTCAAAAGCATGTGATCTTTGTTCTGCCTTTTGCCCTTTGAAGCATGTGATCTTTGTGACCTACTCCCTGTTCGTACACCCCTCCCCTTTTGAAATCCTTAATAAAAACTTGCTGGTTTTGTGGCTCAGGTGGGCATCATGGTCCTACAGATATGTGATGTCACCCCCGAAGGCCCAGCTGTAAAATTCCTCTTTGTACTCTTTCTCTTTATTTCTCAGCTGGCTGACACTTATGGAAAATAGAAAGAACCTACATTGAAATACTGGGGGCTGGTTCCCCCGATAAAATTTACAAAAAACTCCATAGTAAAATGATAATCAATAAAGCCAAAAGTTGGTTCTTTGATGAGATTAATAAAATCATCTGCAAAGACTGACCAAGTAAAAAGAATGCACGCATAAATAATATTACCATGAAGGAAATATAAGTTTATTGTACTTGAATGGACATATTTTTCTTTTTTTAAGATGGAGTCTTGCTCTGTTGCTCAGGCTAGAGTGCAGTGGCACAATCTCAGCTCACTGCAACCTCCCCCTCCCAGGTTCAAGTGATTCTCTTGCTTCAGCCTCCGGAGTAGCTGGGATTACAGGCACATGCCACCACGCCCACCTAATATTTGTATTTTCAGTAGAGATGGGGTTTCACCCTGTTGGCCAGGCTGGTCTTGAACTCCTGAGCTCATGATCTGCCTGCGTTGGCCTCCCAAAGTGCTGGCATAAGCCACCACATCCTGCCTAAATACACTTTTAAAATACTCAACTCAAAGGCCAGGCTGAGATGAACATTTTAGTACCTACTTTTTGGTGAATATATGTATGCATTTCTGTTGAGTGTATACTTAACAGTGGAATCCTTGGATCATGGGATAGGCATATATTCTAATAAATATTGCCAAACAATTTATCAATTTGTACCCCGTTGACAAATGTGTGAGAAGTTCTGAATGTTCCACATTCCCCAGGTTTGGCATTCACTTCCTTTTTTCTCCACACCGCAATTCCTATCTTTGTTTTAGCCATTCTAGTGGGCGCGAATTGGTATCTCATGTAGTTTAAATGTCAAGTTCCCTGATCAACAATTCAGTTGCACACCTTTTGACATGTTTATTGTTGACTGGAATATCCTCATTTGAGAAGTGCAGTATAGACCCTTTTAATGGCCCTTATTTGCCATTGACTTATCAACCCTTTACTAAAGGCCACACTGTCATGGTGAGGCTCCAGGTAACTCCAAGGTAAGCCTCATGCTTGGGGTGGGGGAGAACAATCTCTCCAAAACACCTTTGTGCTGTCCGTAGGGGCCTTACCCTGGATAGCACCAATGAGGCAGCAGAGGATGACCTTTATTACTCCAAATCCCAAAACCCTAGAAAGTCTTTTCCAGGAGGTGGAGAGAAGGACCACGGGGCTTTTCAACCAAAAAGACCCCCTGAGTCCGAATTAACTCTTTTTTCTTTTTCTTTTCTTTTCTTTGTTTTTTGAAACGTAATCTTGATCTGTTACCCAGGCTGGAATGCAATGGTGGAGTTCGGCTCACTGTAACCTCTGCCTCCTGGGTTCAAGCGATTCTCCTGTCTCAGCCTCCCAAGTAGCTGGGACTACAGGAGCCCACTACCACGCCCGCTAATTTTGGTATTTTTAGTAAAGACGAGGTTTCGCCATGTTGGCCAGCCTGGTCTAGAACTCCTGACCTCAAGTTATCCGCCCTCCTCGGCCTCCAAAAGTGCTGGGATTACAGGTGTGAGCCACCGTGCGCGGCCTTAAAGAACTCTTCACCGGATCTCGCCCTGGGCCTTCCCAGCCGAGCGGGCCCGCCCGCGGGAATAGCCGAGGCACTACCTCCCGGCCGCAGGCGGTGAGGGGCTCGGGTATCTTTCAATGTAGATACGCTCACACCCTCCTAACAGCGGCGCCAAGGGTGGTGGGGCCCAAAACTGTTTCCCCGTCAAGAGTTCTCCTGCCCCGGTCGCAGGAAGACGCCTGAGGGGGGCGCTCGGAGGGATCCCAAGCGGCCTCCAGGGCTGAACCTTGCGGTGCGCAGTTGAAAAGCCGGGAGGGGCCGGACCACCCCGAGCGCCCGTGGGTGCTTGTCTTGCTTACGGAGGGCGCCCGATGAACCGAGTCACGTTTTGCGACCACATTAACGGACCATTCAAAGTCGAATCCTAGGCTTTTCGAGGCAGTTAGTGGGTGCCAACGGCTGCGGGCGGGGCCGGCGGGAGCGCAGTGGGGCGGTCGCTGTTACTGCCCGGCGCGGCGGCGGCCTGGGGCCAGCGCAGAGGCGCAGCGGCCCGGGAGGTGAGCGCTGAGCGAAGCCGCGGGGCCCAACCGCAGTCACGGGGTCTGGGAGGTGGGTGCGCCGCGCCGTCCCTGAGGCCGGGGGCTGCGGGAATGAGGACCTGAACTGGGGTAGAGGTGGCTGAGCTGGAGTCAAGGTGGGCGGCTACTCGGAGGTGGGCCGGGCTAAGGGAGAAGTGTCCTGCGGCTCTGGGAAACTAGCCTTGGACCCTTGGAGAAGCGATTTGTGATTTACTGAGCACCTACTATGTCCTGGGCGCCACTCTAGGTGCTGGGATCCCATAGCAAACGAAGCCACCCCAGCCCTTGCCCTCCTAGACTGTATATGTATATATATAGACAAGACAAGAAAATGTATAGATATGTAACAAAATGCCGTAAATTTTCATGAATAAAAATGTAGTAGGGCTAAGGGAGTGGACTGTAAAGTTGGGAGTGGGGAAGGGGTCGGTCTGAGAGGCCTTTGTGAGGAAGTCTTTTGGCAGGAGACCTGAAATGAAGTGAGGGAGCCTTGGGAGCATTATCCAGGCGGAGGGAACTGGATTCCCGAGGCGGAACTTCCTTGGCCTTGAAAGATACCTACCAGGAGTTTAAGTGCTGTGCGGGTGGCTCAGCTTTGTAGATTTGTGCGAGATGAAAATTGGAATTGTCTTAGAAAATTATGGATCGATCATTCATTTATTCAGTGCTGGATTCATTCAGTGATTTATATCTGAAGCGTGAGAGAATGGGAGTAAGGCCAAGTGCCCTTGGCAAAATACTGTTACTAGTTTTGTCCCAGTTTAATACACAAACTAAATTTAGAATTTCCATTGATTTTTAAGAAGAGCTAATCTGAGTTAATTTTACATATAAGTAAACAGTACCTCACTTTTTTTTCTTTTTCTTTTCTTTTTTTTCCGTGCTCAGCCCTCTATTGGAGATTCTGCCTCCCCTAGGACTGATGTCCTCTTGAGCACACTCCCACGGTGGGTGGCTGCCCCGGGTGGGTGTGCGCTGGTGGCTCAACAGGGTGTAGGGTAGGGGTCTAGTGTCCTGTCCTCTGAGAGGGAACTTTGGTGAACTTGCGTTTCGGTAGGGATGCACGTGAAGTGGTATTGGATCCCAGGACTCGGGGCCCCTTCCTCCTGGGGGCACACAGGTTCCCTTCCTCCTTGGGGAGCAGCCCAGGAATGGCTGTCTTGGAGTCTTCCCTTAGTGCCTCCAGGACCTGGAGTCCCATCTCTTCAAAAGGTCGTCTTTCCTTGGAGGGGTCAGAGACTCCTGCCCAGGGCTCTAGAGTCACGGTGAGAACACCTGCCTCAGTCTTGCACTGCACTTCTCTTGGCCTGATTTCTCCACTGGGAGCTGGGACCCGAAGCCCTCAAAGGGAGGATCCCCGGAGAGAGGGTCGTGGGCAGAGAGCTGGTACAGACCGCAGGGAGGGGTGACTGGCTGGGGGCCCAGAGCATCAGGAGGGCTGGGGTGGCCCAGTCATCTTTGTCCTTGGCGCCATGTTTGAGGATGCAGGTGAACTCCACCTAGTTGAACTTGCCTTTCTTATCAATGGGCGCCTCCCAGTACATCTCATCCACTTCCTCATCTGTGAAGCTGTCACCCATGGTGGTGAGCAGCTCCTGGAGGTGGTCCTCATGAATGAAACCTGAGGATTCCTCATTGAAGCAGGTGAAGGCGTTTTGGATCACATCCTGGGGCTCTGTTCCATTCAGCTTCTCCCCAAACATGGTGAGGGAAGTGGTGGAAGGTGATGGGCCCTGGGGCCTCCCTCATCATGCCCTGCAGGTATTTATGTTTGGGGTTCTTCCCCTGCGAGGCCAGCTTGTTGTGCTGTCCCCCTTGTCATTGAAGCCATCATGATTCTGGTCAATCATGTTGAAAGCCTCCTTAAACTCCTGGCTGTGGAACTGGTCGAACATCGTGAAGACATTGGATGTGGCCCGCTGTAGTCGCTTCTTGGTGGTCTTGACTTTGGTCCACTTGCTGGACATTTTGGCTTCAGGTGGGTGGGGCTTCACTGGGTGCTTGGAGCTGGGCTGACCATACGACTTTACTTTTTCCGAAAAGTATATTTATTTGAGTTAAAAGGCTTCTGAGGTTTTTTTGTTTGTTTGTTTGACTTTGTTTTTCCCAAGTGTGAATGATCTAGAAGATAAGAACTCTAGATACAGGAACAAATAGAGTGAGGCACAGGGTGGGGAAGATAGCAGAGAGAAATGAAAATGAAATAAGGAGGCTGTGGAATAGTGGAAGGGACAGTCTGTCCTAATTCTCCTCCTCCTCCTAATAGGAAATAATACAGGTTCAACATAACGTATCTCAGCAGACCTTCAGAACTATCAATCCAAGTCAGGAGAGCTGGTAGAGGAGGAAACAGAGTCACATTTGATAACTGGTTAAGCAGAATCGTGATTTCCAACTTCCCTGTGGCTCACTGAAGCAGTTTAGGCTAAGGTGATGCTATGAGGAGAGGTGGCTTGTTCTAAGTGTTTTAAATTTTATGTGGCAAGGTAAACCACAAATTACAGAATTTTATGACAGCAAGATTACCTAATCCAATCGTTGCTCATTTTGCAGATGGGGAAACTGCTAGTTGGTGACAGAGAAACAACTCAAAATATAGGAGAGACATTTTTGCCTTACCTTCAGCTGTCTCTCCCCAGAACCCTTATTTGATAAAATGCTTCTCAATGGCTTCTGAATGAGTAGAATCAGCTTTGTTGAGGATCCCAGAATTGAGTTAATCTAAAACATCATTAGTATTATATAAAATTTCACTTTCTTCCAGAAGTATTTATTGGAGTGTCCATTGGCGAGGGGGCTAAACCACAGCCTCTTCCCTCAAGGAGCTTAAGTAGATGGAGTAAATGAATAACTAGACAATTACAATTTACAGGAAGCAGTACCTTGGAGAGAAATTGGAGAGGGAGTCAATTCCTAGGATAGCAGAGAGATGGACAACAGACCGCATGTGAGTATTAAAACTGATGTCAGATATCAAATTGGTTGGTCAGGGTTATGTTGATAATCCCAATACCTCCCATCTGCCTAAACTTTTCTTGTCTTGATGTGTAATAGATGTAAGTGGTGGTGGGAGAGACTATTGCAGCCAGTAGACTTGGTACATTCCCAAAATCTTTTTATTCATAAGTAATTACTATTTGCCATTTGCAGCCTTTTGTGCTTTAATATTATCAAGAACAAGACGAATGATAAAATATTTATGATCAGCATTGTAATTGCAAACAGGCCTCAGTAATAATCATACGCAACTGGTTTTGAGGGAATTTCCTTGTAAAGAACCATGGCTATATAGGTGTGAAGAGTAACGTAGAGTAATATATGAATGTACACAATAATAATAACTTTATAGAGCAGACCATAGAGTGTAACTGAGTCATTGTACTTGCATACTGTGATAAAGATCCAGAAAATGTATTCAGCAATATATGAGCCTTTGGATTGGGCTGGAGGATAGGATAGGCAGCATCTGGTATTTAAATTATATAATGCCTAATTTATCGCATGTGCTCACCTCTGGAAACACTTTCACTAAGCTTGTTTTCTGGGAACTCACTCACATCTTGAATGCCTTGCATCTCTGACTCTCAGATTTTTTCTGAACATTTTAGTAGTCACGCTTAGAGAGGCAGAGCATACTTAGTCAACACTTTTTTTCTGAGATGGAGTTTCACTCTTGTTGCCCAGGCTGGAGTGCAATGGTGCAATCTCGGCTCACCACAACCTCCACCTCCCAGGTTCAAACGATTCTTCTGCCCCAGCCTCCCAAGTAGATGGGATTACAGGCATGAGCCACCACCACCGGCTAATTTTGTATTTTTAGTAGAGATGGAGTTTCTCCATGTTGATCAGGCTGGTCTCAAACTCCCGACCTCAGGTGATCCGCCCACCTTGGCCTCCCAAAGTGCTGGGATTACAGGCTTGAGCCAGTGAGCCCGGCATGCTGTTTTTGTATTTTTGTAGAAATAGGGTTTCACCATGTTGGCCAGACTATTCTTGAAATCCTGACCTCTGGTGATCCACCCGCCTCGCCCTCCCAAAATGCTGGGATTAGAGGCATGAGCCACTGTGCCTGACCAGACATATTCTTTTATTCAGGTATTTTTTCTCTAGCAAAACAATTTACAGGCTAATATGCAGCATTTTTCTGGGAAGATGTAGTAGTTCTTTATTTATATAGTTCATTTATTCACTGAACTATTTCTCAAGTAGCTATTATACTACAGGCACTGTTGGTGCCTGGGACTGCCCTGATAGAGAAGGAAGTGATAAATTCCAAGAAGAAAAATAAAGCAAGATAAGGGGATAGAAAATGTTGGAATGGGCAGGGAGGATTTTGATTATTCTAAATGCAGGCATACCTCAGAGATAGTGCAGGTTTGGTTCCAGACTACTGAAATAAAGCTAATATCCAATAAAGCGAGTCGCAGAAATATTTTGGCTTCCCAGTGCATATAAAAGTTATGTTTACGGCCGGGCGCGGTGGCTCAAGCCTGTAATCCCAGCACTTTGGGAGGCCGAGACGGGCGGATCATGAGGTCAGGAGATCGAGACCATCCTGGCTAACACGGTGAAACCCCGTCTCTACTAAAAAATACAAAAAACTAGCCGGGCGAAGTGGCGGGTGCCTGTAGTCCCAGCTACTCGGGAGGCTGAGGCAGGAGAATGGCGTGAACCCGAGAGGAGGAGCTTGCAGTGAGCTGAGATCCGGCCACTGCACTCCAGCCTGGGGGACAGAGCAAGACTCCGTCTCAAAAAAAAAAAAAAAAAAAAAAAAAAAAGTTATGTTTACACTATACTGTTGTGTGTTTCCTGTACAATATCATTGTGTCTAAAAAGATGTATATACTTTAGGATGACGAGGTCAGGA